TATTTACTGTACAAGAAGATATTTGTCATGAAACACGGCTTCATAATGTACATCAATACAGTGAAATTCAAAGCCAAAAATTCCTTGAAGAAATGTAGTCATTTTGAAGTTGAAGTCTTTTTGATGAAAGAAAAAAAAACGTTTCAACAAAGAAAAAGAAACCGTCCAAAGGTCCTGACTTCACTTTGTTGGATTTTTTTTACCTGGATTATTAAGCATAAACTTTGATGTTTTGAACCACTTTGGCCACAGCTGCCTCATATGAGTCAATGGGGGAGAGGGGGGACTCCAGAAACCATCTTATCACCATCAAACTGGTTGGTCCACTGTGTGAATGTGCTACTTATGGGAATGAGTTTGTTGTGACTCCTCAGACTGATGAAGTCAAGGTCAAGGTTTCTTTATTATCATTCACATCATATGTGGTACATGTGGTGGAACGACATTGTGTGGGTCCCAGTTACATCCAACAAAAGTATTAATTGTAAAGAATAACAGTAATAAGATCTGTGATAAGATATGAACTAATAAATACTCTAAACTAAGAATACACTAAGCACTAATAGTACAGAAACAATACGCCGAACAACAGCAGCACAAATATGAGTCTGTGTGAGCAGATGAGTATGAATGAACAAAGCAGTCTGAAATAAATCAGCAGCATGAGATCAGCAGCATGAGATCAGCAGCAATGGATAGTCAGCAGCACATATCAACAATCAAGTGGCATTACAGTGATTTTGTTTTCACAGTGATAATCCTGATTAGGGATTCATGAGTCTAACAGCTTCAGGGTAGACGCTGTTCCTCAATCTAGTGGTTCTACACTTAATGCTCCTCAACCTCTTGCCTGAGAGGAGCGGGACAAAAAGTGTGTGTGCTGGGCGAGTGTGGTCCTTCATGATGCAAGTCTTTTAGATGAAAGACGAAATGTTTCAACAAAAAAAGAAACCGTTCAGAGGACCTGACTTAACTTTGTTGGATATTTTGACCTGGATTATTTAGCATGAACTTTGATCCTTGAAGAAACTCTTATCACTTGCTTCCTTTCAGGCCAGAGTTTCAGACTATCAAATTAAGTTGAGAAATACAAACCCCCCAAAAACCTGCATATAAATAATTGCATTGACAAGTGGGTCTATCTAGAGACCAAAAGTCTAGCTTCCCAGCCTCCCTTCTTAAATTTAGGCATGCAAGTAAAGGTTGCCTCCATGCTCTTCTGGAAGCCGGGGTGGGCTCCCTAAAATTAACACTAGTGGAGTACTCCACTCCCAGCCACATAGCTTTCATCTTTAGTCAATGACAACTGACGGCTGCAGACTGCTCCACTCAGCTGTTCACAGTGTGGTGTCAGCTAGACCACAACAACTTCTGTCTTCTTTCATTTGCATTTCCCTGCTTCAGTCTGACACATTTTCTCTCTCTCCCCCCCCCCCCCCTATTTCCTCTTTTCTCATTTAACTTCGTTGGCTCCCTCCATGCCTCATCTAGTTTATAGCATGTTCTTTGTGTTTGTGAATTCCTTCTCTTTTGTTGTTGTTGTGCTCTTTCTCCCTTCCTTGCATGAGAACAGGCAGCACAGACAGGCTGCTAGTTATGACTTTGTTTTAATAACACGCTGTCCAAATTTTCAGAACCTTCCAGTTGTGAACAGGCGGACATCGCATTTATGCCGTCAGGATCTTGCTCTGTTCTCTAGAAGCTGACAGTAGTGGAAGAACTAAACGAGAAGCTTCAACAGTTAGACATCGCTGAAACGTGACGATGCAATTTTACGATCATCCTTAAAAATCCTGGGCTTCAGCACTGGGAGTCAAGTGTTTCCCTGGGATCACAAATGTGCCAGAAGGGGGAGGGTGGACTCCCAACTCTCACATGCATGTTCCAACACATACTGCATATAGCCAAGATAAAAGAAAACATATCTTATCACATCTTTTACTGCATTGTTGGGCTAGTCCACATGTCACAACCAAAAGTGCCTGATGCTAAGGAATCCCAACTTCATCGTGTGTCAGAAGAATACAGTTAACATGCAACTGCTCTAACAGTACACAAGCTTCATTATGGAAGGAATGTGAATTACAAAGAAGACAAAATATATTGTTGATTTAAATCTATGGTGCACTTGTAAATTAGAGTTAAACAAACACTGTAAACTACCTTAGCCACCTTCATAGGATCAATGCTATTTTTTTTACTACGATCCATTTGACAGCACAATCATTTGAGCTCTTATTTACATTGCTTCTCTGTGCAGATCCATCCATTCTCCTTCATGTTGTGATTGCACCACAAAGATAATGGTCTGGTAATGTAGAATGAGGCAACACGTTGATGAAAAGGCTTTTATCAGCATAGCTGGGCTACAGAACACAAATATAAGAGCCTAGCTTGCAAGACTGAGGGGTCATAGCCTCTTCTTATTGACAGGGAGCAACATCAATGTAGCAGCTTTGGTCCACACACGAGCTGTAAGTCACCTTTGCACAGCTGCAAACAACTTTAATCAGGACCATTACCTTTTAGCCAGAAAGCTGTCTGTGGAAACTTGGCTTACCATGTATTCCGGCCTGTAAGTTTTGTTTTTGCATAATTTACATGCTCTGCAACTTTTACGTGTCTTATTTATGTTTTTCCCCATATTTATAAACCAATATTTGGCTGAGATACGACCATTTTCATTTATTCTGACATTGAAAATATTGAACACTACCACTTTCAGCCGCTAGATGGCACTCGAGTAGTATGGCATGCCATTGCATCATGTAATAGGTAAAAGTGGCTATTAATGACACAATTGGCTTGCCATACAAAGCCACCTCTGTCCAGCTCCGGGATCATGCCTGGAGCAACCGTCAAATCAGCTTAATTTTGCTGCGCCACCCCGGCGAAATGCAGCTAGTTTTACCATTAAAGTGCATTTATTAAGTAAAAGTTCAACTGAGACACACCTTTACTATAATGTCGAGCAAACAAATTATTGTTTGAGGTGCTTATTTTGTAAAATTTTGAGGAAATGCGCAGCGTTCCTCCTTCTTGAGTTCCTACCTCCGCGTGTTCCCGGAGCACCGAGGCAGCAAATGCTTTTCAAATGCAGCTGATTTGACCGTCAAAGTGCATTTATGAAGTAAAATTTCAACTGAAACACACATTTACCATAAAGTCGAGCAAACAAATAGTTGTTTTTAGGTGGTTATCTTGTTAAATTTTGAAGAAATGCACCACGAATGGTCCCTCTGCGTGCTCCTACTTCCGCGAATCAGGCTTTGAAATGCAACTGATATGACCATCAAAGTGCATTTATCAAGAAAAAGTTTGACTGAGACACACCTTTGCTATAATTTCAAGCAAACAAATAATTGTTTTTAAGTGTTACTCTTGTTAACTTCTTGTTAAAGTCCTCCCATGCACACTCCCACAGCTGCTGTTTGGCAGCCCATCATTTTTTGGCACAGCACCGGCCCACATTTCTGGGTTGTCAGTGGTGATGCGTAACAAACGCGACGGGTCAGCGGTTACGCATAATAGATGCGGCTTATACGGCGAAGCGACATATTCATGTTTTTTTTCCACTTTATTAGACATATTTGGACTGATGCGACTTATAAGGCAGTGCGACGTGTACGGCAGAAAATACAGTACTTCAGTCATCTAACACTTATTCATAATGCTGAACCAAATTTACTGATCAAACATCTAGTTATTTACTATGAACAATTTGTATGCACATTCCTATTCATAGTAATATAAATATAATTTGAAGACTTTAAAAAAAAAATTCAGAATCAGACGTTAAAAAATAAAATATACAAACAGTGTCAAAAACTTCAATTTGCCCCTTTAGCAAATAACTTTTTGCAAAGTTTCAAGAAAACATAGATTTGCTAATCAAGTCAAATTACTTTTTTTTTTTATATATTCCTTCAGACAATACTTTTGGTATGAAAGGATTACTGTTGTGTTAGAAGTATTACTAAAGATAGACAAATTAATTAGCTGACTGGTTCTAATTTGCTGATATTGGGCAACTTGTAAAAAAAATTGTCAATCAGACATGCATGTGTGTATTTAATCAAATAGAAATAATTGTATCCTATATTAATTTCATTGTGCAAATTCTTCTAACTGGTCAACAAGTTTAATGGTGCTAAGACGGTTTCTGAAGTCCAAAACCATCTGGTTTCACCGTTTCTTCACCATCAGAAACCATCTGAGCACCATCAAACTGGTTGACCCACTATGTCAGGCGCTATTTATGAGACTTAGTTTGTTGTGACTCCTCAGACTTTTGGATGAAAGATGAAATGTTTGAACAAAAAGAAACCGTCCAGAGGACCTGACTTAACTTTGTTGGATTTTTTTCTGGATTATTAACCATGAACTTTGATATTTATTATTCCCAATTTAAAAATATATAAAAAAAAATATGCATAATGATTAAAAATATAATATTTACCCACTTCATGCACTTTAATATGACTTTAATCATCTTTATAGTTATAGTAAAACTGCAGATAATTAAAGTTTTGCCCTTTGTCACAAAATCAGATGTGTCAGTGAGACAAAAACAACTTCTGTTTCTGTCTTTGGAAGTCAAAGAGCTGTTGTAAAGTTTATTTCCCTTTCTTGGATTAAACTGACCAAACCAAGACTCCCCATGTTTCTTCTCGTGTTTGTGGTTGAAGTCCCTGACTGTCAAACATCCAGGCTGTTCAGGTCCACCAAAATGGTTCTGTGCTGAGGTGAGAGGAAAATCCCAGCTGTCATGTTTCTAACTCCCACTTTAAAGCAACTTAATGAGCTCGAACCACGTTGTCTTCAAAACGTACACAACTTAAACAGACTGCGTGCTTTCGTTTTTCGTTTTTCAAACTGCGCGCATTGAAAGTTGCAGAACTTGTGCGCACTTCACTTCTTGCTCTCCAACTCCCGAGTCCAAACTCTCCGGACTTCCCAGCAGCTGACTGGTTTCGGCTCGTGCTCGAGTCCCATCTTACCTTTGATGCTGATCCCGAGTCCCCCCACGTCCTGCTTGGTGACCCGCACCGTGCGCTTCACGTTGCTGATGGTTTCCGGGACGGGGGACGAGCTGAGGTTCGGGGGGTCTCCGTTGACAGCACCTGCGGGACTCGGGCTGGGCTTCGCCGGCTCCTCGGCGCCCTCGCCGGGGTTCACGGTGAGCGTGTCCTCGGTAAGCGTGGCCAGCACCCGGACCCAGCGGTCCACGCTCAGCCGAAGTTCCAGGAGTCCCGTTTTCTGCGCCTTCATCGCGGCAGCCATGTTCAACGCATTCCTGGAATAACTCTAGACGGGCTGGCGGTCCTGTACAGGGGGGGGTGGAGAGGGCTGGGGACGGGGGCATGCAGAGACGCACACACTCTGAACACTTTCTCTCCCTCCAAGGAGCTTCATGCAGAAGCAAACGGCAAAGTTTAGCGTTGACACGCTCAAAGTCCAGAGTTTCTTGTCGAGTTCATTCATCAGCTGTGTCATTTATTTATTTAGTCAACTAGACAGGCTGCAGAAATGTCCAAAGCTCATGAATATTCAGATGCTCTGTCATGAGGAAAACAGCATCAGCATGCTTCCAGTGGCTCAGATCAGCCATGAAATCTACAAAGTGTCCTCGGTTAGAACAAGCAAGCTGTAGGAACAAAAGAAAAACCCAGTCAAGATGAACAAATGCTTAGATTTGTAACACCTGGTTCAAGACATCACCACATTTTTCTGAATATAAGGCGCACCCCCTGGTGTAGTCTACATTTTTGTAGTAGGTATACTGTGTTTAAAAACCAAAGTACACTGGTTAGTACACTGCAATTGTCAATTTGTTTTTGATTTTTAAGCGTATTGAACATTTTCAAATTTCTCTGACGCTTATATTTGAATAAATGTACAACAAACTTTATACAACAGTTGGCTTTGTATTATTTGTACCTGCATCATGAAGTACCCCACACACCCAGCACACACTTTTTGCCAGGCTCCCCTCAGGCAGAAGGCTGAGGAGCATTAAGTGCAGAACCACCAGGCTGAGGAACAGCTTTTACCCTGGGGCTGTTAGACTCATGAATCTCAACCAGGATAATCATTGTGAAAAAAATAAAATAAATCACTGTAATGCCTCTTGGTTGTTGATGTGTGCTGCTGACTATCCATGATGCTGATCTCATGCTGCTGATTATTTCGTGTTGCTGTGTTCAATGGTCCTCATCTGCTCACACGGACTCATGTTCGTGCTGCTGTTGTTTTGGCACATTGTTTTTGTATTATTAGTGCTTGGTGTATTTTTAGTCTTGTGTATTCTTAGTTTAGTGAATATAGTCTTAGTTCATGACTCGGATCTTACTAATGTTTTTCTTTACAATTTGTGTTTTTGTTGGATGTAACTGGGACCCTGCGTACATAGTTTCGTCCCACCTCATGTACCACGTGTGGTGTGTATGACAAATAAATCTCTCTGACTCTAATTCTGAAAAACATGTTATAGAATTTATAAAACAATATCAAAGCAAAACATGTTCAAGTATTAAGTAGTAAGTACAGAAGTATTAATTATACAATAATTCGCTGAATAAGCGAATGTAGTAAACAAGCGATACCGATAGATTGTTACGGAAGTATTTGACTGCCATTTAACATCAATAACACATGCCTAATGATATGTCATGTATCACTGGGCACTTTTAAATGGGTATTCTGAAATTCGTAAGCTTTTCTAGTGGTTATACTCTGTATACCTGAGTATTGCATAGACTACACCACTGGGCGCACCGGATCATAAGGCGCATTAAGCAAAACAAAACAGTCAGATAAGTCAAACTTTATTCAGCTTGTTCACAATAACCACATAAAATCAGTTCCAGGTCAGTAAGCACAGCCATAATTAATACATAAGGTGCATCTGATTATAAGGCTGATTATGAGAAAAAATAAATAATTTTAAGTGCACCTTTATAGTCTGAAAAATATGGTATTCAAAAAGTCAAGGAGAGAAAAAAAAGCACAGATGCAAATGTCTGTCATTCAACATCATGATGAGTATCTGGAAAGCTTTTCTTCAGATAATGTCATGGTGTTTAAGCTCAGTCAAGCTTGAGCACGACTGGGAGTTCCACAAGAGTAAAAAAAAAAAGACTCAAACATAATGAGAAAGTTGGATTTTTGACTTTCTTTAAATCTATCAATAGGTCTAGGAGTTTGGGGCCAATAACGTGAGTCAAGATGTAGGTCTTAAAATTAATTTTGTTTCATATGTAATAAGCAGTTTTGTAAGGAGAGCACTACAAGTCTTTTGCTTGACTTATAGCTCTTATGACTCTTTTTTTTCTAAAACTGTATTTTATTTATTTTTATTTTTTTTGGTGTGTATTTACAAATTCAGAAAACATGCACAAGTTTGTGATACAAGCTGCTGGGACGGTCCATCATCCTAATTCTGTTTTGCACCTCCAGCCCTTCAGCTGTGTGTGGACTCAGAGTTGCATCTGCTTCACAGCAGGTGAAACAGCGAGGAAGTCCCAGGACCTAATAATAGAAAACACCCTTCTGGGTGGGCTGCTGGGGGGAAACAAGTTTGGTGCAATGACTGAATGTTGCTTTTAAACCAGAATGAATGACTTAAAGACATCTGTTGGTATCCTTACAATGTGGAAGCAACCATTCAGACATCCTTTACTCCTTTTTTTAATATAAATTGGGATTTTGTTTACCATACTGCAAACTGTGTGACAACTTTTGAATGAAAATGTGTATTACTTGCAGCCATTGAACATAACGCACAGGCTGCAGGACTTTAATATAAATAAAGTTAGTTCTTAGTGTTCTGTTACCATCTAGTGACAGAATTGCTACATTACATCATAGCCGAACCTGCACTGAATTTCTGTCATCAATTCAGTTTATTAAAATAGGGACAGTTTTCATCAAGTCCTTCCATGGCACTGTAAAAAATAAGGTCCAAATCATATAGTTCAGAACCAGATTCAAATCTGAATGCAGTCAAATCAATTCACTAAAATACAATTGATTCACGTAGAGTGCAATATGAAATGATAATATTCTAATTAAATCAGCAGATTGCAGCAAATCTTCTATGTTTTAATGCAATACTTCCTCATGAGCAGGTATATATGGAGGAGATTAAATTTCTGATTCTATGAAACGTATAAAAACATAATTTAAATGTATAATTTTACACTGGATACAGAGAAGTTGAAGATGTTGGAAAAAGTGCACATTAGACTATCTACAATATTTGCTATATGTCAGCAGTATGACTTTGTTCAAATAACACTAAAACTAAACATTGTGTTTTGTTTTATTTTGTTTGGAGGATTATTATTATTTTTTTTTTGCCGATATATTTCATACTTAAATTAAATTGGTTTTCAAGCTGAAGCTTAAGATTAAAAATATTTTCATTGTGTCACTTGACTGATTTAGTACCACAATCTGTCTACGGATTAGATGCACCACACTTATTAAGTTCAAATCTGGCTATATGGTCCATAGAATATCTAAGACAAAAAAAAAAAAAAAAAAGAGTCAGATAGAAATTGCATTAAAAGCTGTTCAAACTGTACAAAGCTGTAAATTATCTTAAGATGAAATTTTTTTTTTAAACAAAAAGTAAATGCTATTTTCCCAAAACATTTCGTGTTTTAATGTTGAGGTTTTTAGGGTCACTGTGTTTTTCTTTGTGTTTCAGGTCTTCTTTTAATCTGACGTAGTAAAAATAACTAATGACAAGTACCTTTACTGACAACACTTTCATCAGCGCTCATTTTCCAGCAAGCTATACATATTTTATGTATTTTATCTTTTTGCATGACTTAATATTTAGTTGTGTATTTGCCTTTTATGTTATAAAACCCGTATAGGTGAGGTTGTTGCTGCACCTCTTGCTGGCACAATGATAAAACATCACTCAGACAATTTTATTTCAAAGTTGTAGACAGTTACACTGTTGACTGGAGAAACTAATTAACTAATAATAAGCAAAATAATTGTTTTAGCTCGTTGCTTTATGACGTTTCATCACACTTGTTTGTTTCTGTTGTTAGTGGGATGCATTGTTCACCACAAATCTCAGAAACAATGGAATCAAGGCAGCAGCGCTTGATTTAAGCGGTTCATCTACCTAATGATGTGTTTTTTTGTATTATGACAAAAGGTTTGACCATCTGACCCCCTGTCTATACATCTGTCAGTTTATTACTTTGTGATTTGTTTGGCAGGTGGCCAGCCTACGCTTTCAAAACCGTAGGGAGGGGAGCAGGAGGATTTGATCTGACTCAGATTAAAATAGATTTTCTCGCACAAAACAAACAAAAGTAGTTTGATTGTTCTGTTTAAAACCAACAGTCGTTGCTGTTCCAACGTTAATTTCACTGTTTGGTTCCATGTCATTGGATTTCCTATCAGATCCATTTTCTGTAAAGAACAATAATTCATTAATTGCTTCCCTTTCAGATTAAGAACCTGTGCCTGGATGTTGTATTCTTAAAAGTCACAGTTTTTAAGAAAACAGATTTTTAATACAAATTTTTATGGGTTCTGAGGCCCTTAAAATACGACTCGTAAACATACTGACATGCAAACGGTCCTGTTCTCAAAGTTCAGCTTCTGCTGTTTTTGCATTCATTTTGAAACAGTCAGCTCGTAAAAGACAACTAAAAGTCAAAACTGTTAGAGGAAAAACAACCAGTAAATTTTTACCGTTTGCCAAGTACACATTTCAAATGCGTTTTTAAGTTCACTTTAAAGATGTACTTTAGTTCGAATAAATTTTATGACGTGCAACAATACAATAAATACAACCAATAATTCTAAGCATAGCACATCTAAGACATACATCTCATCTACGTACATTTTTTTTTCGCCACACTCAAATTCAATCAGCCACATATATTCATGTCTCAACTCCCCAAAGACAGCGAACATTTGGGGTGGCCTGCTGATTAATTTTGACACCCCTCCTGCTTGCCTTTTCCTCCCCCTGCTCCTGCCATCCTCCAAACATCTCTGCTAGGTTCCATCCATCTCGCCCTTATCTGCAAAGGACAACAGCTCCAGCGGTCCACCATATGGGCCAGTGTCTGAGGGGTGACCGCCTGCCTCCCTACAGCCGGCTTGTGTGCATGTGTTTATCTGTGCGTGTGTGTGTGAGTCAAGCCTGTCCCACCTGTTCTTCTGTACCAACAGACCAGACCTCTTATCTGCAGGCCATTCACCACAGCCTGGTGGACAGACAGATAAGAGACAAAAAGAAAACAGACTGAGCTGC